ACAGCCCAGAACAATCTTGAACCCTCCCCACTAAGGGACATTTGGCAACATTTAGAGACAGTTTTGGCTATCACAGTGGGGAGAGCGACTGCTACTGCTATCTAGGGAATAAAGATTAGGGAGGTGCTAAACATCTCAAAATGCACCAAATACATTCTTCCCCTTCAACAAATAATTATGCAACCTAAGTATTACTAGTGCCAAGACTTAAAAATCCTACTCTACATTTATTCTAAAAAGATATATGGGTGTTTTATAAATCAGAAGCCCAAAAAGTATTTTGAAAAAACAGCAAACAAGAATGCTCCAAGGACTGATGTGAGTGGGGAGGGAAGGTAGAAAAAGCAGGGCTTGCACTTTATGATGTCTTATATGTCTAAGGGACACATAGATAATCAAGATAAGGCCGGGGCTGGGCCAGGGATTTAGCTCAGTGACTTTGCTGCTGCCTCACAAGTGCAAGGTCTGGAGTTTAATCCCCAGTACCAAAATAAGAAAAGGCCAAGAGTTTTAGGTTAGATTCAAAGGATAAAAAATAGGGTAATTAGGTTCTAGGTTAAGATGCCAGAAAGGAAATGACAGCAACCAAAATTAGGAATTGGAAATGAGAGGGGAATGTTGAGACCCATACAGAGGTAGATATTTGACCTCTAAGAATATTTTTGGTACAGTGAAATAGTATCTATAGAATTAATTTAACAATTTCAAAGTTGCAACATATCCAGAGATACTACTTAATGTTTCTCCCTCAAAATAAAAGCCGTATGAGGAAAGAATTTTTTTGGATTCCCAGGCACTGTTTAATGTACTAAGCAAAAGTAAACACTTCAAAGGATGTCTGATTAATTGTTGCTAGATAGAGTAAAACTAGTTATCTCTTTTGCTGATACTCTTAGAATAAGTCAATTAAAAGTCCCCATTTCTGACATAATATCCAGAGGCTATAGAAACTCCCCCACTTATGAACAAGTTCCCTTCAGAGAGAACATTCGTAAGTCATGTTCTTTTGCAATTTGACAAAGTGAGGCTTATACAGTGTACCTGGGAAACTTTGCAACTCCAATGTTTGTAATTACTGTAATCACTAGTCAGTGTCTAATAACTGCCTTGGAAGCATGCTCAACTCCCTTACCCTTCTCTCATTTTACTGCCCTGCTCACAAAATCCAAAATTTGGTTAAAACCACCTGTCTACCTCTTGTATTCCTGAATCTAGTAGCTGAATGCAGCTGGAGAAAACCTTGCACCAGTACTGACAGGTCTCTCTTTAAAAAAAACAAAACGTATTTCTCCTAACTTTGTGAGTGCCTCCAGGGAGGCCCTTTGATCCCATTACCTGCTCCCTGCTTGCTCACTGTATGCTTTCTAATGCGTATTTGCCATTTCTTCTTTGTCAGGAAACCTGCAATAAAACTTCTGCTAATTTCCTCACCTTCAGCTGATTTAGATTCTATTTTCACTAGGAAACTGAATCAATCTGTTGCTAATTGCCTCGCTGTTATGCTTTAGATTTGAAATGTCCCTTAAAGGATAGATATGGTTGTCAGTCTGTAACAGTAACCAAGAACTTTCAGAAGTGGGAACTGGTGGAAGGAAATGAGGTCACTGGAAGTATGACCTTGAAGGGGTTATGGAGACCTTGGCCCTTTTCTCTTTCACTTTCTTACTTTCTGCCCATCATGAGATGAGCACCATGAGATGAGCATTTCTGTTCCACCATGCTCCCCTGACAAGACACATTGCCTTGCCACAGACCCAAAAGTAACAAGTCAACCAACAATGCAAAGAAACCTCTGAAAGCATACGGCAAAACAAATCTTTACATCTCTCATTAAACTGATTTAATCTCAAGTATTTGTCACAGAAATGGAAGCTGTCTAATACACTCATCTTTCTCTTATTAAATAATAAACCTATAATCTGGATTCTTTTCAATTACATTGTTCAGTGCTCCTCAGATCAACTTCATTCCAATGCTGAATCTCTTGCCTTTTTTCTTACCCTAGTATACTTCTTTTGAAACTGTACCCTCTTGCATTATCATCTTCCCATTCCTTCTCATTTGTAAATAGCGTGCACATCATTCTAGCCATTTCTCTTTCTTTAGTAGCAAATTCTCCAATGAGTCATCTTTCTGTACAGTACTTGCTCCATTTATCATACCTTGCATTTGCTTTATTCTCACCACCAAATGCTTTAATGTGTACTTTCTACAAACAAGGATATTACAAATATGCAGCTATCAAAATCAGAAAATTAACATAGATACAGCTCTACCATCCAATTATCAGACACATTTAAATGCAGCAAAATGAGAGAAGGGTAAGGGAGTTGAAGATGCTTCCAAGGAAAATATCTTACATGGCAAAAGAATCAGGTTCATGATTTACTATTAGTGTCATGTCTCTCTAGCTTCCTTTGGTCTGAAATAGTTCCTCTGTCTTACCTTGTTTTTCATGGCCTTCAAGCTTTTGAAGGTTACAAAACAGTTACTTTATAGAATGACCACCAAATTCAGCTTGTCTACCGCTCCCACAGATCTAGATTATGTTCTAGGTCCAGAAAGTATGTGTCTTGTTACATCCAATCAAGAGATATATGAGTTCAATTTGTTGCATTACTGGTGATGCTAACTGATCACCTGATTAAGGGGTTAACTGCCAGCCTTCTCCAATGTAAAGTAACTATTTTTCCCTTCATGATTAATTTTGAGACTATGAAGTATCTTTTTCTTCACCAGACTTTCAATGTACTTATATTTATTAATATGGATTTATTCTATGGATTATCTTCCTATTTATTCTATGGATTTTCATTCATAATTATTTATTTAGATGTTTACATTGTCCTACATTTGGCCCTTTATGGTGTGTGTGTGTGTAATGTTGCCATCATTCTTTGGCTATTTATTTCCTCACTTTTTAGCAAAAGATTCATATTGTACTTTCTCTGCACTATTTTTTCCAAGAAATTCTGATTCCTTTTAAAGACTAAAGGTAATCAAAAGCCAGAGTCTGAATGCTAGGGTTACCCCTATTTCATAACCCTCTCAACATATCAGGAGGACAATGAAGACATGCATCTACCTCTTTATTTCTGGATGTATCTCTATGTATCAAAAGTCATGAGTTAACATCAGCATCTCCAATTCCAATCTAACAAGAACACCTTTTCAATATTTGTAATCTCTTTCTCCGATAGTAAAAAAGAAAGCTGGCTCCCTGTACTTTAATACAGTTACTCATTTGAACAATTCCCACTGTGTAACCAATCTCCCACTGCTGCTGCTCATACTCCCCACTCAGGTATCATCTCCTACTTCACCCTCTCCCATGGAGGCAATCCACTTTTCACGTAGGCACTAACTTACCACTCCAGCCACACTTGCCCTCCCCAAAACTGAGATTCTCATACTCTGCTCCAGACCATCACAGCTCCCAAATCTGTTAGAAGACTCAGTAATCTTGCTTAGCCTGGTCTCAATTTCTTGGAAGGTACAAGACAGGATAAATTCCTGCCATTCACTTTAGATTCTGCTATTTTCCAACAATCAATTCTTCATTTATCCCTAACCAATGAAAAAAAAAATTGGAGAAGCATGGTACTAAAGACCCAGGCTTTCACACTCAGCAACATCTTCAGTCTTTTATTATTATTTTTGTTTTTATTATTATGGAACAGGGTCTTGCTGAGTCCCTAAACTGTCCAAGATAGGCTTGAACTTGCAATTAATCCTTCTGCTTCGGCTTCCTAGAGTGCTGGGATCACAGACATGTGACACCATGCCCAGCTGGAAGTATTCTCAATTCACACAGTTTGCTTATTATTCTACAGCCACAATGAATGTCTCAAGTATTTTCAAAAATAAAATTCTTCCAGTAATTAAATATCAATTGTCTAGGGCCAGGGATTTAGCTCAGTGGTTCTGCCGCCTGCCTCTCAAGCACAAGGACCCGAGTTCAATCCCCGGTACTCCCCCAAAAATTCAATTGTCTAAGAATTACAGAACTGAACAACTGATAAAAGAAACAATATTTTCACAGGTTATCATTAGATCTTTTAACATTCTGGAACAAAAATGTTTTAATCATAAAATACATTAATGCAAGACATGGTGATAGTATAATATCTAAAATAGAAATATGGATATTTTTCTAATTATGTCAAATTATTTACTTTCTGCTCATCTTCCTTTATTGCCTTGGAAGGATATGAGTCTCAATTTTAGAGTGACTAGTCTTTTTCTTTTTAATTCACTTAGATTTATAGCATTTTTCTTCACTCTCATATCTAGGGAGCAATAATAGTTTTGTACTATAATTTGTATATAGTATATTTAAATATCTAATGAGACCTAGAAGAGGTTCAAGGCATCAAGTGCAACAAGAAGTTTGCAGAATGAACATAAAGAACCTAGTATTTTATAGATAAACATCTCTTCCTACTATGTACTTAAGATAAAAATCTTGGTTAATAATAATATAAAAAATCTAAATAGGTTTATATTTGCTTTGTGGTTTCTACATCAACAGATAATCCATCAATTGTTTCTTACAAATACTGTTACACTAAGACTTCATACTGTCATTTAAATATGACTCATTCACTCATTCATTTTCCATCTCATCTTATAGAATAATATGCTATAAACTTCACTGCATCTGCCATCACCTTGCTGCCATCTATAATTCCCTTCTCTGTAATACTGCAGTGGCCTCTTAACTCATCTCTTAATGTCCTTTCTAGTCATCCTCTAATTCACTTTTCACACTGTAGTAGCTTGATCTGTTCAAAACTCAGAAGTAATCACCCCAGGCAATACATTACAATTAAAAGCACTGATTCTGAATCCAAGCTTCTAGATTTTGCCATTTATTACCTTTGGCAAGCCACTTAACCCTTCTCAAGTTTCCTCATGTGTAAAATGGAGATGTCCATCTGTATATCTTAAATTATAAGAATTAAACGAATATAGCAAATGCACTATGAAAGATGGTCTACCTCATTATCTTCAAAAACATGTTTAGTTAGATGTGGCAGCATTCATCTGTAGTCCCAGCTTCTCAAGAGATTGAGGCAGGAGGATTGCTAGAGCACATGAGTTTAAGACCAGCCTGGCAACACTGTGAGACTCTATCTCAAAAACAAAGAAAAAGAAAAGAAATAAAGCAAACATCATATCTTGCATATGCTTTGCTTCAACTACAGTGGTGGAATGTTCTGATTTTTGTTTTATTTTTTTTATTTGAGAAATAGATGCACACCTTCCTGTGTGAGGAACGTGAACTCCCACTTCTGCCATCTCACACACATCTATTAGTTCCTAAACAATTTTCAGATCTCTATTAACACTTCTTCAAGAGACACCCTCCCTAAATTTATGAGTAAGTTAGTTTTTATGTTGCTATCATCATACAGAATTTTGTTCTTTCCCCTTGGGGTATATTTACTCCTTCTTCATTTCCCTATTTGATTGATAACTCTCTTTCTGCCATGCACATTTTTGCTTTCAATGCATTTTTGCGTAGCTGAACATTTAATCATCTATTGAGTAAAATGAATGAATAATTGCACCAGTGCCAGGCACTGTGTGGAGTGCTTTATATATAATCTCATTTCATCTCTCATAAAGGATAGGTATAATCACTCCTATTTTACAAATGTGAAAAGTAAGGCTCAGAGTTTACCAACTAGTAAACAACAGTGAGCTAGGTGGGTGATACAAAGAAGAACCAAAGCAGATCCTACACTTAGAGCTTATTAAGTGCTGAATAAACACTATAACTGAGCATAAAATCAGTCACATATTATTTACACATTAAGATGACAATGTTGACATTTGGTCTGACATGTGATGTTTTAAAGCACTAATCAATAAAACTAAACAGAGAAAGAAATTAAAGATATAAATATTGCAAAATAAGAAGACAAGAGTATCACTACTTGCAGCTCTTGATCTACAATACCAGGAGAACCAAAAAACACTGACAGAAAAACTACTTTAAAAACCAGAATTCAGTAAGGTAGCAATGTACAGAATATGTAGAAACAAGTCATATCTATATATACAACCTCCAATTAGAATTTCTGATTTAGCAATTACATTTCACAACTTGTAAACTAAAGCTAACATCAGGCAACTTTACATTTCTTTTTAATAAAAATAATTCTAATACTTAAACTGCTAAAAATGCTTACTTTATTATTTTAAAAGTACCCAAGTACAATTTCTTAGGTACAATAGATTTTAACCTTTAGAATTAGCAATTAATTTGTTTCTATGCCTATTGCTGATTTACCTAACACGTGTATTTATGCAAAAAATATTTCTTTGAATGTGATGAACTACTCAGAGAATTTCAAACACGTGATACATAGCTAAGTAGTAAACATGGGATTATAAATATTGTACCTTGAATAATAAAAAATAAAAATCATTTCTACCACTAACAATGAAGTAATTTTGGACAAAATACTTGCCCTAACAAAACCACAATGAGGTATGAGGTCCAGGGATGTAGCTCAATGGTTCCACCCCCTGCCCCACAAGCACAAGGACCTGTTTGATTCCTGATACAAAAAAAAAAAAAAAAAAA